TGGCTTTCTCGAAGGAGTATCCATTCCCCACAACCCAGTAAGAGCTGAAAAAGCTTCTTGGATAAGAAGGGAAACGTCTTCAATGAAAAACAAACAAAAAAGTCCAGTTCCCTCTTGAAAAAAGCACCTTTGGGTTAAACACCAGATATTTATCTTCTGTTTTCATTTTGTTTGTTACTTATAAGAATGTATATTATCCTTTACAAAAGGAGCATACCTGTAACAGAATCATTATTGAGAATTTTAAAAAAATGAAGAACTGTAATCTCAGAGTAAAAAAGAAAGCCAGTGCTACCCTATTCTTTGTTCTGAAATAGGTGTATTGAATTATGTAATTGCAACCTCATTGATTAACTTTAATTGTCACATGGCTTAAAGATTTCTATTCATATTCTAGTCTTAAATAAGACTAGAATATAATTTATTTAACTTTGGAATGCTCCGTTGCATGAATACAAACTGTGGTTCATTCAGTAATAGGTTTTAAACCATATATTAAAACATTGTACAGGTAATGTTCATTTTATGATCATGATTGGAAGTGGAATTTCTGTTGCCAAGCAAGGTGGTTAAATGAGCTTATCTGATTTTACAATGGTTTCTTGCTAAACTTAAGTTTAATTAAGTTTGTTAAGCAAATCACTGTTGTTCTTAAGTGAATCTGGTTTCCCCCATTGATTGCTTGTCAGAAGCCAGCTGGGTAGGTCTCAAATGGCAATCACATGAACCCAGATGCTGCAACCGTTATGAATACGGTACATGCTGGCTACCAAGGCCCTGGATTTTGATCACATGGAGATCCCAAAAACCATGTGGATGCTGCAACAATGATAAGTGTGAGGGACCAGTTGTTAAACCACCTTTTTTTTTAGTACTGTTATAATTTAGAACAGTGATTAAATGAATAGCTGTAAGTCGACCTTACAGCTAAGTAAAGCTATTAAGAATAACCTAAAACACACACATCATTGTGCAATTAGGTAACTGAATCATATTCAGAAAGATCAAAACTATGTGTTTGATTAGAATGTAATAAGATAACTGAACAGCTTTTTTAATATGAGATAAAACCATGATACCATAAATAAGGAACTTTGCTTTCTCTATTTGCTGACTGCATTTATACACATTTGCATACTCATTATTTCTTAGAAACTACTAGCCTTCAATCAAATGAAATGCTGGTTGCAAAATGCTACTAAAATTCAACAAGATTTTGTTAGGTTTAACATCTTAAAAATATTGATATGTCACAGTAGATCGATCTTGTTAAAATGAATTGAAAACAGGAGAACCAGTTTGACCTAGTGGTTAAGGCTGTAGGGTAGAAAGTGTATAACTATGAGTTCAAGTTCCGCTTCAGTCATGAAAGCCAGCCCGGGTGACTTTGGGCCAGTCTCTCTCTCTCTCAGCCCAATCCACCTTACAGGATTGTTGTGGGAAAAACAGGAGGAGGAAGGAATGTTGAATATGTTCGCTGCCTTGAGTTATTTGTATAAATGATAAAGGCAAGATAAAAATAAAGAAATTATGAATGCAGATCATTCAAGCTTACAGTATCATTCCCAATGATTTTCTTTTATGAAAATATGCCATCATTTAACATGAAAGTAAGTTATCAATGAAATTCCACTTTTCTTCATTTTTGTAACAGCTGTTATGAGTATAAAAATAGCAATTGGCTTTCTCTATAAATAGATATAGGGTGGTTCAGTGGCTAAGACGCTGAGCTTGTTGATCAGAAAGGTCGGCAGTTCGATGGTTAGAATCTCTAGCACTGCTTAACTGAGTGAGCTCCCGTTACTTGTCCCAGCTTCTGCTAACTTAGCAATTCGAAAGGACGTTAAAAATGCAAGTAGAAGAATAAGGACCACCTCTGGTGGGAAGGCAGCAATGTTCCATGCGCTTTTGTCGTTTAGTCATCCCAGCCACATGACCATGGAGACATCTTCGGACAGTGCTGGCTCTTCAGCTTTGAAATGGAGATGGACAGCACCCCCTAGAGTTGGGAACAACTAGAACATATGTGGGAGGGGAATCTTTACCTTTACCTTATAAATGGACACGATCAGTGGATTATGGTTTATTTAGCATGTCATGTAAGCCAGGGACTCTGGTTTGTTCTGAGATGAACAAGCCAGTGAGAAATAATGATTGAATTCCTCTCCATACAACACGCTAAACAAGCCACAGTTGGAGCTGCCTGTTACATTCTTCCCATGAGTGGCTATATAGCAGTCATAACAACCACCACATTTTATTACTTTTTAAAAAGATCTAGTGATGACATGTCTTATGAGTCTTGTATTTTGGGAATCTTAATTATGCTTTTTAATTTCCCTTTAAGAGGAACAATGTGGCTCCTTGTCATTGTCAGATGCCTTTAAACACATATGGTGAATTGGAAATTGAACCAATTCAAGTCTTTCATGAAAATATTAAAAGGGGGAAAATTGATCTTTATTTGCCGAGCCACTTATTAGCCAGTTTACATCGATTTTTGCACACACCGAACCAGCAGTAATGCCGAGAGCAACCCACCCTTGGAATGGTCAGATAAGAGATATGGGGAAGCTATTTTAACTTTTTTAAAAACTTTAATTTCTTATTGTATCCTGAATCCTTTATGTTGCCTCTAGGAATTAGTATAGATTTTATGTGTGTATTCTGGTCTATGACTGGAATACATTAAAGGGAGATACATGAGAAGCACTGTAATCTATTTCTAGAGTTCACAGTTTATAAACACAACCAATGCCTATTATGTTAATAGTCCTTTGCAAAACAACAATATAGGACAGCATTAAACTGCACCAAAATGAAATCAAAACTAAAAGCTGTAGGCTCGAAGACACTTAAGGAATGGCATTAAGAATAGAATGGAGCAGGTCAGAATAAAAGGAGGTAAGTGGTTGAAATACTAAGATCCATGTACAAGAGGAAGTGGCCCATGTAGAGGTTTCATGGGACCTCCTCATCCTAGAGGAGAATATATTGGAGGAGCTGCTAAGAGAAGCATAGGCAGCTTCATAAGGATTTGGAAAGAAGCTTCAGTTGTCAATTGAGGATGCCAAGAATAATAATGAGTCCTCCCGCCCCAAGGTAGCTGAAGCAAAGACAAGATGCAATCTCTTGCAGGTTCTTCATGAAGAGCAAAGACAGTAAAAGCATAGTCCTGACCAAAGTGCCCTCTTTCCTTCCTACAGACCCCATTCCCCGAAATCTCCTTTAATCTCCAGGGGCAGGACAAAACTTCTCCAGTGGGAGGCAAATCCCTCCAAAGATTCCCCCAGATGGAGAAAAATAGGAATTTGGTGAGAGTTGCCTTTGGAAGGTTGACTGGAGTGACAGTTTCAACAAGAAATGAGAGCCTTAAAGCTGATCATTCATTGTCAGGGAAAGCTTCGTTTATGACCTAAGCAGTGACACTCAACTGACACTAAGTCACAATGATGGGCATAAACCCAAGGAAAGCAGATCCTACATCTACACAGTGAAATTCCCCTCTTGATGATATGAGCACCAAGAGATATCCTGGGTAGGGGTGGAGAACAATTTGTTTTTTTATTCTAATTAGAATAGAATAAATAGAATAGAATAGAATAACAGAATTGGAAGGCACCTTGGAGGTCTTCTAGTCCAAGGCAGGAAACCCTATACCTATATGGTTATCCAACATCTTTTTAAAAACACTAAAAACAGTGTTGGAGCATTAACAACTTCTGGAGGCAAGCTGTTCCACTGATTAATTGTTGAAACCGTCATGAAATTTCTCCTCAGTTCTAAGTTACTTCTCTCCTTGATTAGTTTCCACCCATTGCTTATTGTTCTATCCTCAGGTGCCTTGGAGAATAGTTTGACTCTCTCTTCTTTGTGGCAACCCCTGAGATATTGGAACTCTGCTATCATGTCTCTCCTAGTCCTTCTTTTCATTAAACTAAACGTATCCAGTTCCTGCAACTGTTCTTCATATATTTTATCCTTCCATCCCCTAATCATCTTTGTTGTTGTTCTAGAGTGTCCCAGAATTACTTTTAGAAGTAATTGTTACCTNGGGAGCCAGTACAGCTCGCGGAGGATAGGTGTAACATGGGTGTATCTCGGTACACCCAGTATCGCTCGCGCGGCTGCATTCTGGACCAATTGTAGTCTACGAACACTTTTCAGGGGCAGCCCCATGTAGAGCGCAATATGATCCCCCTCCCCATACATATGTCTGATACTTTAGAAATATTAAGGAATAAATATCAGAACACAATCATATAATCAAAACCCTTACATCATTTATGCAAATATTAAATCAGAAAGCTAAGAAATGATGCGTTAATTGTGATGTGGACAAAGGAACAATAAAAGAGCAATTAAAAGACTTAACAACATAAAAAATGTTCATGATTTAGTGGTTTAAGTAGTCACCTCTGTCATATCTTATTTCCTAGATGTATAATGTAGCCCTATGCATATTCCACAACAGAATTCAAATAGAAATATCTCCATATTTCATTCTTCCAATTCTACGAAATTATATTCTTACAAATCTAAGAAATTTCCCCAGGTTTTGCCACTTTCCTTGCCTATTGGGCATTTCCAAGTATGATAACGTAGTATGAGTTCTAGGAACAAGCCGTCACATGAAGGTTAAGTTCATTGCCAAAAGCATGGTCATCTATTTAAAAAAAACACATTTTTTTATTTTTAACAAATAAGTACAAACATAAAACATAAAAACATCTTCCAATTTTGTAGTGTGTCGATTGGTTACAAAACTTTTTTGTACATTCTCCCCATAGTCTTCACTTACAATTTATATAGAATCTCATATTATCAATCTGATATATATGTATGCAATTATTATAATTATTATACATTTATTTGACTATAATTATCATTACTTCATTTTATGTGAAATATTCTAAATTATATATTTAAATTTATTATGACACTTCATTACATCATCCTAAGTCCATCCAGTAGTAATACATCTTTATAAAATTCTTTGTCTAACCATTGATAAGTCCCATGTTTTATAAAATTGTTTATCTTTATTTACCAAACTTTTATGCATCCTCTCCAGTCTTCACTTACAAATTATATAAAATCTCATATTATCAATCTAATATATATATGTATATCATTATTAATCATTTATTTTANCCTGTGTTCCCGTGTCTGTTGGAGTCTGGGTTGCTGCCAACTTCTTGCCAGTGAGTCGTGTTTGGGCTTTCAGCCAACAGGATTATAGTTGCTGTGAATAAAGAGTGGTTAAGTAGCTAACAGCTAAGCCTGTGTCTGCATTCATTACCGGACAGAGGGGGGCCAGAACATGTATGTATGTATGTATGTATGTATGTATGTATGTATGTATGTATATATGTATGTATATAGATACACACCACACTCACACTCTTATTCCCCTCTTATTTCTATCTCTATTTCTATCCCTTTATTCTTTCATTATCCAATGTCTCAATGTACAGTTCTAGTACGACCACAATCATTTAAACAATTAAAGTATATCTATTTATGTTCTTTCCAATCATCCAATCTGTGTGATTCTACTATCGATACACATTTACATTAAAATATACTTTTATTATCTAATCAACTATTGTTTAATTTTAGCATTTCACTGCTAATCATATTTTTAAGCATATTTAATAATACTATCATTCAATCTCTAATTTTCTAATTAATGCTTAATTCTCATTCATAATTCCCATATTTCACTCTTCATATCTATCTTAAAATATTATCCTGTCGTCTGTCATACTACATAAAAAATAATTATCCAGCCTATATAATTCTAATATTAGTACATGTTTTCATTTAAATGTATTCATGGAAGATCTTTTACTTGCTCTTTTTTTTATCCATTATCTCTTGCCCCCATTCGGTCTTTTTTTTTTGGCTTGCCTCCCATATTCTTCTCTTAAGTCTTTACTCCATCTACTTCTAGAACTATATTCTGACTATGCTATCTAACTTTTTCTTCCCTCTCTACCCTTTCCCATTGTCTAGTTTTAAAGCTATCTGTTTTAGCTCCTATCTCTCCCCAGATATCTTCCTGTTTCTCCCATTCCCTTTTTAAATTTTTTAAAATATTTTCCTCCTGTTTTAATTCCTTAATTACTATTAATTTTGGTAATGTCTCCTCTTTGTTGCCTTCTTTTTGCTGGTTTCTCATTTCTACTTTCCCCTCCATTCTTTCTGATGGCTCCTTTCTTTCCTCATTGCCCTGGTCTTTGCTCATTGTCCCTTGTATATTATTTTCCAGTTTTTGGTCTATGCAATCAAATATTTTGCCTTTGTCGGCTTATGTTGTTCCTGTACTCCTTAATACTTTGAAACATCGGCTCCATTCCATTTAAAACTCCACTCACTTTCGCCTTGTGTTGCATCTTATTTTGTTTAATAGGTCTCCTTTTTAACCAGTTGTCCAGGAATCATTGATTCAAAATAGAGCTTGCCACATAACAATTTTTAATATCTCATCAATAATCAGTCAAATCAATTTTAAATACACTAGAGGATTGTCCACACCTCTTCAAGTCACTTTTATACATTCAATAACATTCAGGGGTCTTTTAACTAAGGTTCTTACTTAATATTTAAATCTCTAATGGTCTTAGAGTAGATACATGTAATCCAGTAAGTAATCCAGTAAGTATTTTCAGACCTTCAGATGATTATTCTCAAGCTTGCATAGTTTCCCTCTCACCAGCAGATGGCACTCTCTGCTTCAACCTCTCTGCAATGTTGCTGGCAAGTCCAATTTTAATTATTTTAAATTATAATTCCAACAGGTAAGCAGTATTAATAAAAAAAGATTTTAGGTCCATTATTCCAGCATTTTAAAATGCCTTCTCATTACCACATCTTTTTACTTTGAGAGTTCAATTTTCTCTCTCTCTATATATATATATTTTAAAAATGTATCTTCTTAAATTTTCCGGTATTTTTTCAAAGTGCTTCTTCACCGCTTTGACAAATAGTTCTAAATATATATTTGCCTTAGATTCTTTAGGCCAGATTTCAACAAAAAGTATTATCTCACCCAGTTCGCATACCATTCACTGTCTCTTTGCTACTGCACTGTCTTGGGTATTCAGACTGTCCCCAGCTTCATGGCAGCCATTTTTGCTGTTCATCTTTAGATAAGGGGGATTTTCTGAGTCAAGGAGGAGATAAGCGGTTCTCCTCAACCTGCAAGGTGCCGTCCTTTACTCCACCACCCCTACAGGGTGGCTATGGCTCCTATCGGAGCCCTCTAACAGGGAGAGCACAAAGTGGGGCTGAGTACAGCTGGAAAGTATAATAGCTTTTTTAGTTACTGAAATTAAGGCATCTTCCCTGGGAACAGGCAGTCAACCTGGCACTTAATATTAGATACAGCATCTCAGAAGCCCCAGTTCAAAGGATACCTTGCAGATACCTTGTTTTTGAGTAGACTATTCACTGTCATCTGTCCCAGAATGGTTCCCTCCCTCTGTGCCACTTGCTTCTGTATAACCACTGCTTCATTCCTAAACTTCCACCAGATATCCTTATCCCTCCACCCCACTTCTGGCAGCTTAACTCGACAAAAAGACTATCTCTCTTTTTCTATTCGCCAGGTATGGAGAATTTAAAAGCTACCCACCCAACCTACAATCAGAGCAACTTGCAGCCGTATCAGTTTAAAACAGAATGATACAGTTGGAGCACTCTCCATCTGAAACATTTTAATCCATAACCAAACAAAATAGCCAAATGAATAGGCCAACTACACAACATATGCTTTGTGTTAGAGGCAAACCACTTTAATTTACTTCTCTGTATTTGGAACAGTTCTGATATTTAAAATGTTCAACCATAATTTCAAAGTATGGATGAGGATATTTTGTGGACGAGGATGTTTATTAACTAGCATTTTGTATAACACACTACACAGAGGTGGGTTGCTGCCAGATTGGCCTGGATCAGCCAAACCAGTAGTAGTGGCAGTGGGAGGCTCCACCCACTTACCTGGACGCTTCTGCACATGTGTGTGAGTGCACGCGGGAGCGCGCCCAAACCGCTAGTAAAAAATTAGCAACCCACCTCTGACACTAAATTATATTTAATCTTTGAAACAATATGCTACTCTCTCTCCAGAGTCCTGATTTATAGTTATAACAATTATGGAATAGTCTTACTGACTGATGAAGGTGGTCTTATATTTGGTTTACACTATATTACTTTTTAATATAAATATTACTTTTGGCTTAAATTATGGATATTTATAATAAAAACATTTTTATTCCTTGTTTTCTGTTGCAACCAGTGCTTTGTTTGCTTGGTTTTTGTTTTCTGACGCAAATACATATTTGAAGATTCAAGATTTAATGAATTTGTATGCCGCCCAATCCCGAAGGACTCCAGGCGGCTTACATAAAAACAATTAAAAAATACTAAAAAATTTAAAATACAAAGACAAAGCAAGTTAAAAGAACATAACATGCACTCTATCTTAGTGGGGCTGGAACTCAATCAAGGATCAGCAGCCCCAGGCCTGCCGGAATAGCCAGGTCTTAGTAGACTTTCAGAAGGCCGAGAGAGTGGGGAGGGTCCGGATCTNTACAATTGTATCACAGCGGCCAGTTGTTTCGCCGGATTTGGCATTGGTTACTAGTCGGGCCCCACCCAGGGGCCTAGGACTATTATTATTATTATTATTATTATTATTATTATTATTATTATTATTAGTAGTAGTAGTAGTAGTAGTAGTAGTAGTAGTAGTAGTAGTATAGGAGTATTATAGGAGTAGTATTATTATATTATTAGTAGTAGTATTATAGTAGTAGTATATTATTATTATTATTATTATTATTATTATTAGTAGTAGTAGTAGTAGTAGTAGTAGTAGTAGTAGTAGTATGCCTTCTACATTCTGATTGTTTGTTTTTAATGAGAAGCCACTTTGAGACTTTATAATTTGGTAGCCACATATAAGCCAAAAAATATGTTTAACAAAGCCATTTCAGAAAACCTATTACATCCACTTTATTTTTACAAGAATTTGCAAGGTGGTCTGGTTTATGTCTTTAGTAAAATAAAACAAAAGTCAACACTGGATTGATTTGCACCAAGTTCAAAATAGGAATGTACAAATATGAGTATACTTGATTTAAGTTAAACTCAGGAGGTTGGGCAGTTTTGAAAACTTGATTTTGTTGTAGTTTCACTGTACTGCTTGTATAAGATTTGTGCTTTCTTCTTTTATACTGCCAGGATAATTCTGGAGATAGAAGAGCCAGCTTCCAATCACAATGGAGGAGAACTACTGTTTGGAGATGATGGCTATCTTTACATCTTCACAGGAGATGGAGGAATGGCTGGTGATCCTTTTGGGACATATGGAAACTCTCAAAACAAGTAGGATTTTAAATTCATAAACTTTGTAAAAGAGGGAACAAATACATTGTACTGTTTCTGTTTATAGATTTGAAACTAGGCACAATACTGGCACATATTTTATTGCTTTCTTAGATTAGAGCTTGGTATATATTGCAAAAAAATATATGGTTATATCAAGGGTTGGTTGGCAGTGTTGGCTCTTAGTGATATTCTCCAGGATGACAAGAATAGGTTGGGTGCATCTAAGTCCTATAATTTTTAATAGGAATTAACTTAAATCCAAACTAAAGT